GTCGATGGTACTATTTCTAAACCAGATATTGATGATCTTTCTTATAGAACTTGGTCTAGATGCAACAACATGGTAATGTCCTGGTTAATACATGATGTGTCAAAAGAAATTGCAGAAAGCATTATGTATATTGATAATGCTTGTGATGTTTGGGCTGATTTACATGAACGTTTTCACCAGAGTAATGGACCAAGAATTTTTCAAATTAAACAGCAATTGAGTAGTTTATCTCAAGGTTCTTCAGATGTTAGTGGTTATTTTACAAAGCTAAAGGCTTTTTGGGATGAATTGAAAGATTTCAGGCCTGTTTCTACTTGTACCTGTGGAGGATTGAAAGATCTTATGTGTTTTCAAGATCAGGAATATGTTCTTCAGTTTTTGATGGGTCTAAATGATTCTTATAGTCATGTTAGAGCTTAAATTCTTATGATTGATCCATTGCCTTCGATGAATAAAATTTTCTCTCTTGTTATACAACGGCAGAGAGGTCTTAGTTCCAATCATTTTCCTTCTGTTTCTTCATCAAATTCAGCTGCCTTTGGTGTTGCCACTAGCAATTATAATTCATATAAAGGAAAACGTGACAAGCCCCTTTGTACTTACTGTGGTTTTCTTGGACATTCAATTGATAAATGCTACAAAATTCACGGTTAATCTCCTGGATTTAAAAAGAAATTCTCAGATCAGAACAGGGGACAATTGAAGCAATATGGTTCTGTGGCTAACCAGATTGCTGCAAGTTCGGAAAGTATGGTGGAGAATATGTCCAATACCACTACTCAGTCCTTAACTACAAGTCAATGTCAACAACTCATAGCTTTCCTGAGTTCTAGACTTCAGAACAGCTCTTCATCTGAAATTGATCAACAACCAGTGGTGTCTAGTCTTACTGGTGTATCTCCTTCCATTTCTCATAATGATTGGATTTTGGATAGTGGTGCTACGCATCATGTTTGCCATGATTCAAAACTTTTTTAGAGCTTTGATTATGAAAGAATAGTTTCCTGTGTTAATTTACCAAATGGAGGCAGTGCTTCTGTAGCTCGTATTGGAACCATTCAACTTACTGCAAATATTATTCTTCAGAGAGTTCTTTATGTGCCTACTTTTCGATATAATTTGCTATCCATAAGTGCACTAACAAGAGACTCAAATTTATCTGTGGAGTTTTATGCTAATCACTATTTGATTCAGGACAATACTCAGGCTGTGCAGATTGGGATGGGTAAGAGAATAGACGGCTTTACCCCTGGGACTTCACTGAGTTCAAGAATGTTCCATCATGCAATTTTTCTTCTCTAGCCTCAGATACTACATGGCACTATAGACTTGGCCATCCATCTCCTAATATTCTTCAACATATGTCAAGCATTTTACATTTGAAATCAGTTTCTTGTAAAGATTTCCACTGTTCAATCTGTCACCTTGCAAAGCAAAGACGATTGTCTTTTGTTTCTAATAATAATTTCACTCCTTCAGCTTTTGATCTGATTCACATTGATATCTGGGGTCCTTTTAAGACTGTTAATGTTGATGGTTTCAAGTATTTCCTCACTATAGTTGATGACTCTACTCGTTTTACTTGGATTCTTTTACTTAGAACCAAGTCTGAAGCACAACAGATTATTCCTCAGTTCTTTAATTTGATGTTGACTCAATTTCAAGCTGTCATCAAGGGTGTTAGAAGTGATAATGCTAAAGAACTAGGACTGGTTGATTTTTACAAGGCTAAAGGAGTTGTCCACTATTTATCTTGTGTTGAAAGACCTGAGCAGAACTCTGTGGTAGAGAGAAAACATCAACATTTATTAAATGTGGGTAGAGCTCTACTTTTTCAGTCTTGTTTACCGTTAGTTTATTGGAGTGAATGCATCAAAACTGCTGTTCATCTCATTAACAGGACACCATCTTCTTTATTAAACCATAAGTCCCCTTTTGAACTCCTATATAAAAAGCTTCCATCTTATTCTCATTTGAAGACCTTTGGTTGTCTTTGTTATGCATCCACACTTCTTAGTACTCGAGATAAGTTCTCTCCAATGTCTCGAGCATGCATTTTTGTTGGATACCCTACTGGAATGAAAGCTTACAGATTACTGGAAATTGAATCTGGCCGGATTTTTGTTTCAAGGGATGTGCAATTTCACGAGTCTATTTTCCCTTTTTTTGATAAAAGATCCACTTCAGATTTTATGGAGATTTTTCCTGATACAGTTTTGCCTTTACCAATACCAGAAATATCTAGTTCACAAGTGTCTAATATCGAGATTGTTTCTGATGATGCTCCTGCTTCTACCCGAAATGTTCTTAGTGAATCTTCTGATATTCAAACAAGTAGGTCCACAAGAAATGTTAAGAGACCTGCTTATCTTCAAGATTATCATTGTTAGTTGGCTTCCAGTAATCTCATATCAGGCCCTGCTCCAACTCTACATCCTTTGTCTGATGGACTTGGTTATAGCAAACTTTCAACTCACTTCAAAGCAGCTGTTTTATCTGTGTCTGCTAATGTTGAACCTTAGTCTTATCAGGAAGCTTGTGGTAGTCCAAAGTGGCAAAAGGCTATGCAGGATGAAATAAAAGCTCTTGAATTAAGTGGTACTTGGTCTATCATTGAATTACCACCCAATCGACATGTTGTGGGTTGTAAGTGGGTTTACAAAATCAAATACAATGCAGATGGTTCTATTGAAAGACACAAGGCCCGACTTGTTGCAAAGGGTTACACACAACAAGAAGGGGTTGATTACATAGATAATTTTGCTCCAGTTGCAAAGCTTGTTACTGTTAAGTTGTTATTGGCTCTAGCAGCTGTTAATGGATGGTTTCTGCATCAGCTAGATGTTAATAATGCCTTTTTGCATGGTGAATTATATGAAGAAGTGTATATGACTATTCCAAATGGATATAGTCCTAAAGGGGAGCATGGATCATTCAAGCAACCTGTTTACAAGCTGCATAAATCCTTGTATGGATTGAAGCAAGCATCTCGTCAGTGGTACGCTAAATTTTCTGCAGCATTAATTGAAGAAAATTTTACTCAATCAGCAACAGATCATTCCCTTTTTATCAAGAGTCAAAACTCAGTGTTTATGGCTCTCCTAGTGTATGTGGATGATATTATAATTGCAAGCAACAGTGAGAAAGCTGTACATGACTTGAAAGTTTCTCTTGATGCTCGTTTTAAGCTCAAAGATTTAGGTACTCTAAGATTCTTTCTTGGTTTGGAGATAGCAAGGACCAACAAAGGAATATCTTTGTCTCAAAGACCTTATGTTCTTCAGTTGTTAGCTGATACTGGTTTCCTTGGTTCCAAGCCAGTGAATACACCTATGGAGGTGAATTTAAAATTGAGCCAAGATGAATGGAAAGTTTTAGAAGATCCAAGTTTGTACAGAAGGATGATTGGAAAATTGTTATATTTGACTATCACGAGGCCAGATATTTCTTATGCCGTGAATAAACTTAGTCAATTTCTCTCAGTTCCTAGAGTACCTCATTTACAAGCTCTCAATCGAGTCTTACAGTATGTGAAAGATAATCCTGGACAAGGATTGTTCTTTGCTTCTAATTCAGATATGCAGCTAAAAGCTTACACTGAAAGTTCTTTAACAGCAAATAATGATGTTCAATTCAAAGTTTTCACGAAGTCAGATTAGGCCTCATGCCCAGATACAAGACGATCAATAACAGGTTTTTGTGTGTTTTTGGGAAATTCTTTGGTGTCTTGGAAATCAAAGAAGCAATAGACTGTGTCTAGATCTTCTACAGAAGCTAAGTACAGAGCAATGGCTAATGCTTGTTGTGAGTTGACTTGGTTGCTCTCTTTGTTAAAGGAATTTGGAAATCAACACACTAAACCTGTCTTATTGTATTGTGACAACCAAGCAGCCTTACATATAGCTGCAAATCCAGTCTTTCATGAGAGGACTAAACACATAGAAATAGATTGTCACTTGGTTAGAGAAAAGATTCAAGCAGGACAAGTTAAAACTCTGCATGTGTCAACTAAGAACCATTGGCAGACATTTTCACCAAAGCTTTACATCCTACACAATTCAAGGATTTGTTGGACAAGATGGGATTATGTAATATCTACACTCCATCTTGAGGGGGAGTATTGGAGAATTTGTTGTAACTGCTTAGCTGTCATTAATTAGCTGGCTCTTAGCTGTTAGTCGTAGATTGGTCCATGTAATAAGTGTATATAAACCTGGTTGTATGGTACAAAAACCTTTTAGATCAGATCAATACACGTTTTCTGCATTTTCTCTTCCTCTTTCTTCTTTCCTTTTTATTTCCCTTGTGATATGTCCGCCAATGAAGGTATCTTTTGGACTTGAACCTTCACTAGTGAAAATGACTCAAATGTTAATCGAGGTGCATGGTAGAACC